CAATGCAGAACGAAGGAGTAGAAACTCAGAAAATCGTATGAAAATGCTGAGAGGAAGCAGTGCCTGCGTATAGCCAAATATGTTGAGCGATTTTCAGTTTGTTTCTTGTGCGTTGTGTGTCTTTCTTCAACATCTGCTGCCGAAGCCGAAGCCGAAGCCGAAGCCGAAGCCGAGCGACGACGACGACGGCGCGAGACTTGCTTTCTTCTTAACTCTTTAAGAGCTACAAGAAGAGCAATTATATATATACCCACCAAAAATCTCTTCCTCTTCCAATATGGAACAATGTCTCATTGTCAAGAGAGGGAAACTTAAAATTTTACTCAAAAATTTCATTTTCCCTCCATTTCCCATTCACCTTCATCTTAAAAAATAAAAAACTCAACATAAATGTCATATCGCATGTGCAAATTTTCAAAGATCAGCCAACTCTGGAGATTTATTAATCCAGGTAATGTTATGTTTGGCTATAAATCTCACGTCCTTTAATTAACAAAAGGCCTGTTCCCCCTATTATTGTTATCTAGCTGCAGTACTTAATTTTGTTAGGATTGGGATGGGCTTAACTAAAGTGACATGAACAGTAGAAATCATTTAACTAATTCCAACTTATTTGGCCGTAATTATTGTTATAGTTATTATACTTCCTCTAATTTCTTGCTTTTACTTTATTTACCGTGCAATATGCAGGATAACAGTGAACCAATATGTATATTTCATTGGGTTAAAGAATTCAACTCCAACGGTTGTTTCCGCAATTGATAATCTAATCCCAGCTTTCACGTTTCTCATAGCCGTACCCGTGGGGTAATTTCTATACAACTTAGAGTACAATTCAAAAGTAAAAAATATCAAATTGAACAGGATAAATTAATAGCTGTGAAATTAAACCTTTGTATCAGGGCTGAAAAATTGAGGTTGAGAAGTATAGCAGGACAAGCCAAGTTATTGGGGACAATAGTATGTGTTGGAGGTGCTATGTTATTGTCATTATATCATGGCAAAGTGGTGATTGGTCAATTGGGGTTTCACTGGAAATATGCAGAAAGTACTGGTAAAGATGTTAATTCTTCTGGCCATGGCAACTTTTTTTCTGGACCTTTTCTAGTCATAATGAGCAGTCTCACTTATGCTATTTGGTTAATTATTCAGGTAATACTCATCTTCTAAAAATTGTAAATTCTTACTCCTAGCTAGCTAAGTGAAGTTCTATATATATAACTTATTTTCTTATTGTTGCCAAGGAAAAATGTAACTTCTTACTTTAATTCCCTATTTGTGGCTTAATTAGGGAAAGGTAAACGAGAAGTATGCAGCTCCATATACATGCATAACATTGATGTGCTTAATGGCAAGTGTGGAGAGCGTGATCATTGGCTTTTGCGTCGTCCCAAAACTTTCTGAATGGGCTTTAAACCCCATTAGAGCTATCTCAGTTGTTTATAATGTATGAATTCTTAGTAATTTTAACCTTTTATATACTAATTGCCAATGCCTTATTTTCTTTAATAATTTTTTCATCCTTTTCTTCATTGTTGAATTAAAGAAAGACTATAAAGTATCCTATTTTATTTGTTTGTGCTAATAAGTTTCATGGATTTTGACTACAGGGAGTTGTGTGTACGTCATTTGCATATTTTCTGAGCTCGTGGTGCATTGAAAGAAAAGGTCCTTTATATGTCTCGATGTTCAACCCATTGCTGTTGGTTATTTCTGCATTTCTTAGTTGGACTTTGCTTCGTGAGAAATTGTACCTTGGAGTGTAAGCAAACCCAATGCTTTTCTTTCATATCCTAAGCTAATTTGTTAAAATATTTAGGATTTCTTTGTTCATTCGACGAGATCATTTATGTATTTATTTATCTATTTATCAGAGTTGTAGGGTCAATCATAATTGTGATTGGGCTTTACGGCTTTCTCTGGGGTCAAAAAATGGAGACAAGTACAAACGACGATATTGAGGTGGTGGTAAATAAAGAGAAGAATCAGTCCACTAAAATTGATTTGGAATTGCAATTACCTCAGAATCCCAGCTTCAATGGTCATCCTTCAGCTGCCAGAACTGAACTATGACGGAGCAAATATGTAATACTAGAAGTACTGGACTTGTAATATGAAATTAATCTCTTGCAATTTGTGCATAAGATTATTTATATCATACAATATAAGAAAACCTTTTACTTTTCACATGTGGAGTATTTGAGAAAATTACACACTTCATGTCCCAAGTAAGATAGTATTGTGTTCTCTTCAACGTGAAAAAAGAAATATTACCTTGTTCAAGGTATATAGGTATATATTTACTTTTAAAAACGGATAACAATTGAATTTATACGCGATTTTAAGGATATGCGGATTAATTCAATACAAGTGATCAATGACGTTAGATTAAGCAAATAAAAGACATAATAAACGGCAAAACCAATAATAAGAGTGAGTCCAAGCTCGGTTAATGGGCTTAACGAGGAACTTGCCTTCGGTCCCGAATTTGCAATTATGAAAAACTTATGAACAAAAATAAGAACTTTGAATAACTTTTAGAAATAGAGAACAAATGTATATTGCGCCTTTGGTATGCGTGTTGCAGTGTTTCTAATGAATAATAAGTTTCCCTTTATATAGTAGGAGAGTTTTACCCTAGGTACAATTCTAAGAAAGGTAAAAATCTTTCTTTCCGCTAATCACTGATCTTTTGCCGATACGGACCGAGATTCACGTCGTGATATCCGGTTGAACACGAACATCACGACCCTTTGTTAGTCGTGTGCAGTTGTCTGGTAATGCTCTCTGAAGTCTTGGGACTCAAACCGGACCCGGAGGACGTGGCCCCGATAGCTCCGAGGACAAGTATTTATTGCTCGAACCCTAATACGAGAGGCTCCTTGCTCTGATTCCGATTCGTTTCATTCATGTCTCTGCTCCGTTTGCCTCCCCGGAAAATCAGGATGCTTACTAGGCTCGGTTTTACCTGTATACAAATAGTCCCCTCGTTTTTCCGAGAATTAACTTTATTGAAGAATCCCAATATCCAATTAACTTCGGTTAGCTTAAAGAATTAAAACCTCACACGTAACTTAATTGAAGATCAAATGTGTTGTACCGAATGATCATGGATCAGAATGGAAATATATATAGCAATAACTCGAGTAATAGTATTTTTCCAAGATTCAAATAAAACGTTGTTGTAAAAATATTGAAAGCGTTACTATCACTTTATATTATTTTAGAAGTTCTTGCATGTTTCATAAATATATGAAGTTTACCTGTTTATCATACCCTTTAGAATTGGCGGTGCTCCCGGTATTTGATCAACCCGGGAGTTATATGTCTCTACTTTCTTGTCATTTGCCTCGATTTTCTTTTCTCCCGATTCAATCCGTTTAGTGAGCTCCTCGAGCATTTTCATAATGGCGGGGTCAGTTCTCGATTCGTTGGCTTCCGACCTTTCCAGCACAGGCTCGGTCCTGTGGACAACTTCTGGTTCGATCCTACTCAGTGTTCAATGTTGATTTTGTAGTTGTGCTATAGCAGCTTGTTGAGCCTGTAACATTTCGAATATCAATTGGAGGCTAACTCCACCATCCTCTCCGCCCTGCGTACCTCGGCCATCTGATCGAACTTCCCTGCGTACGCTACCTTCGGGATCAACGCCCAAATTTGTATTTAGGGTGACATGTAAACTGACATCGATGGGATTTGCAATTGGTGCTCCTTCGAGGTCAGCCTGAGGCACCTCGATCCCTGGGGCGGCTATATTGTCATTTTCCCCATGAAATCCGAGGCCGTCGTCACCATGTGTAGGCGCTGCTTGTGAGTTTGACATGTTTATCTTGAAAACAAAGATTCTTACGAGAACAAGTGTAAAACAGTGTGTGTTATCGGAATCAGTATTAAGCAATCACTATTATCCTTAGCCCCACAGTGGGCGCCAAACTGTTTACCCTTAAAATTGGATAACAATTAAACTTGTAATATGGTTCTAAGGATACGTGATTTCACTTAATACCAATTGATAAATATAAAGATTAATAATATAAATGAACTATAAAGTAAAGCAAACCAGTGTTGAAACGGAATTCAACCCTCGAGCTAGGGTGCCCTCGAACTGATTGATACCAAAACGGTTAAAAATAAAGCAAGCTGATGAACAAGAGAGTATAAGCTAAAGAGAGAGCATTATATTGGCCTTTTTATGCGAGAACAATATATCTTATAAATGGTTGATACTCCCCTTTATATAGTAGAGGAATTCTACTTATGGTATAACTCTAATTAAAGAAGGAAATCCTATGATTAGCTAATTAATCATTCCTAATTTAATCCTTTTCGAGATTTTTATCATGATCTTCGACCAGTCACGGATATTTCACCTTTCCGTTATTATGTTATCTTCGATCTTGCTCGATGCCTGTCTCATTCGGTCTCGATCGTTGCTGGCCTCGATCTCGACAGGTACCTCGGTTCTGAACTCGGTACCTTATCCTCGTGATTTAATCTGTTTCATTACGTGGTCATCCTTCGATGCAACCTCCCGGTCTCGGTCAAGTAGTAAAATCGGGTGGGCCCGATTTTAACCGTATATAGATAGTCCCCTCATTTTTTGGAGTGAAATGGTAAGAAACGAATTGAGCCTTCAATTTTCTACCTCGATATGTCATGACGTTATCCTCGTGACGTAAGCGACAGAAATGACCGAAACGTCCCGTCGGTACAGTTTTCCAAATCATTAATGAGTGTCAGTTGGTGGTCGGCCACTAGTGCCCTTGAACCGTCCCCATGAATCCAATAAAATAGACCCCTTCTTCATTGATTCAAACTTTACTTTCACTTCCTTCTAATCTCCAAAGCTTTTACATCTCTTAAGTTCTTCTTCCCTTTTATAAATCTTCAGGTTTTGCTGTTAATCCTTTCTCAAACGTCAAGTCCTATTATCTTCCTCTTCTTTAAAGTTACACAAAAATGGTAAAAACATCAAAAACGGTACCACAAAAAGAAGTTGCTTCATCTTCTCAACCAGCCAGCGGAAAAACGCAGGTGGAACCCCGTCTTGAGGAATGCATTCCTGGGGGGGTGCGTGCTAAACTTCGATTTCAAGACCGATAAATCCTCGTTGATTCCTGGTCGATGCGAGCCAGTGTCGAGGTATATATGCTCGATAACTGAGGGATACCTTAAGCAGGTAAAGAAATACTGTAAATGGGAGGGAAAAGAGGTGGTGATCCCGACCCCCGAAGAAGATATCACCACCCATGTAGAAGGGTTTCTAAGTGTTTACACTTACCCTTTCATATTGGGCCCCCTCAACCCCGTCATCGTTGATTTTTGCCGTCAATATCGAATAACCCTAGGCCAAATCTATCCTTCCTTTTGGCAAATTGTTATTCTGCTCCGATTCTTCGTGAGCAAAATCGAGGGGCTCCCTTTCACCCTCGATCACCTTATCAGATTGTATAGCCCCCGCCTCTATCGAGGCGGGTTAATAAAACTCCAACGTCGGGCTACAAAAGTGTTGTTCTCGAGCATAGACGAGGAGAAGGATCGAGGTTGGATGGGCCGGTTTGTTTGAGTGAGGACTTCCGACCTAATCCTAGCCGAGAAGATGTCATTTTCCTAGAAATGGAACATGAATCGTAAGTACCGTCTCACTGTTAGCTTCTATGTATTATTTGTTCCTTTGTCTTTTCTCATCGATGTCTTTTTCCATGATGTAGCGATCGCTTGGATGCCCCATGCGATTCCCGACCTCGAGAGCTGGGTTCGAAACCTGGCCTCGACCTCTACATATGTCGAGCGCTCATGGCGCGATTTATCAAAGGGCCGATGAGAAGCCAAGACTCTTGGTAAGCCCATTTTCCATGTCTTTGATGATTTTGTTAAAGCATATCTTACTTAATTTCCTTTCATACAGGCCTTGGCAAAGATGCTGTCATGAGGCCCCTATCTGGTGAGGAGGAGACTTCGATCCCGGCACCGAGACTGGCGAAGGACAAAAAGAGAAAAAAGACCTCAACCTCCGAGGATCCAGAACAAGAAGGCTCGTAAGCCGAAGAAGAACATCATCCTTCTGACCGAAGACTCTGTTCGGCATCTAAGGGAGGAAGATGAAGAAGATGACTCCGAGATGATGGCCCGAGTGGGAATGAGCACCGAGGCCCCAAAGGCCACTGAATTGGTGAAGGCTGCAGAGACTCCATCTCGAGATGAGGGGGTCTCAGGAAGAGACTTGGGCGAAGTTCCCGAGTCATCGAGGATTGAAGATGCCTCCCACCATAATGAGCCAATGGTGGGTACGGCTATAGGGGCTGGTATCGAGGCCCCTTGAGATGGAGAGAACGCCCCAAGTGATCCACTTGGGGCAATAGAAATTGGAGGCTCCCCGCTGCTCCCCTCGTTTTCTGAGGAGATGATTCAAAAGGCTCGGGCTTTGAAGACCCCCTCCATCGAAGGAGCCCACGGAAGGGAGGACCCCTTCCGTGATTACTTTACTGGGGTCGGAGATGCTACCGGCCTGAGCAACTTAGAGGTCTCGAGGAAGGACTCGGGCGAGGCATCGAGCCTTTTCAACGAAGCGCAGCAAGCTCTGAATCGGGTAAACCTTAACTCCCCTTGTTGGTATTACCCTTGTGTTCATTTTTCTCTTTCTGTTTAACTTCTTTTCATCTTTCTGCGTAGGCCTCAGTGCTTCATCGGGAAGCATTTTCTTGGTCTCGAGTTGTGCTAAGTCGGTACGAGGCCGACATACAAAGGCTTACTGAGGAGAGGAATGCCCTCAACCTTCTCCGTGGACAAAAAGAAGAAAAGATCAAGGACCTCCGAGCCGAATTGGCCACGGCTCACAAAGATCAGACCGACCTGATCGAGCAGGTAATGAAAATCTTAAAAGCTCATGGGCTCTATTCGGGAACGGTGGCTAAAGTTTCATTCTCACAGCTGTAGCAAAAGGTCGAGAGGATCGAGCAGTTACACGAAGAGGTCAACATGATGAAGGCAGAGACCTTGGGGTGGAAAGAAAGTATGGACCGCTTTGCTGCAGAAAAAAAGACTGCTCGAGCCCAATTGTCATCGGTCGAAAGTCAGCTTCGAGGCATGAAGGAGAAGAGCTCGGCTCAGGCAAAGAAAATAGAGGAGCTCGAGGTTCGGTTGGCTTCCGAACTTGCAAAGGCCAAATCTGAAGCCGAAAAGGAAAA